CTCGTGGTGGCTACGACACGCAAGATCGACTTGTGTCCTTGCTCATGACGCATGTCCAAGGCGTGCACCTGCATTTGCTAGATGATGGACTGTTTGCGGCAACCGAGTTTCGGCCAATCCGATGGCGTATCCGGATATGGAATTTCGAAGCCAGCTACACAAACCAAGATGACCGACAGCGGACGCCAGACCAAGGCGGCTCGTCCGACGCCACCAGACGTGCTCGCGCTTCCGCACGTCGTCGAGGCGATTGCCACGGGCTTGGGCAACCAGGACGACTTTCGCCGCTTCCTCGACGCGGTGCCACGGGTGCTCTGGACGCCGGCGCTCACGGCCTTTCTCGACTGCACCACCGTGCTGCCATCATCGGTCAGCGCCAACTGGCCGCGCATTGTGCTGCGTAGCATGGAATTGCCACCTTTGGTCTTGACGCTGCTCGCGGCGACGCTGCCGCTGCGTCCACGCATCGAACTCTATCGTGCGATCTGGGACGCAGCGCCACTGGCCTCGCTCGTCGCCGTCCTCGGACCTGCGCTCAGCAGCGTCACTATCTGTTTCTTCGGCGACCGCATGAGCCATGGTGGAGGCCAAGCGATCAGCGACCTCCTCTTGCAGCGCTGCCCACGTCTGCGCTAAGTGATTATCATGTCCCTTTCTTTTTCGGAGAACGAGGCCGTCGAGCTCAACGATCTGCTTGCTGTCGTCGCCCACCCACATGTCGAAGATTTGAGTATCTGCCTACCGTACAATACCGCCACGCCACGACTTGGGCATCTCTTGGCAACGTGGGTCTCGACGGCGCCAGCGACGATCCTCCAATTGGGCAATGTCGCCCAGATGGACCACGATGGGGCCATCGCGTTCTGCGATGCGCTGCGAGCCAGCACAACCCTCCAAGAGCTCGCCATCAACAACGCACCTGCCCTCGGTGGCTTCCACGGTCGCACGCTCCCAGTGTCTTTGAAGACCTTGGCGTGGGAGAGCCTCCCCGACAGAGTCGTCGACGACACAACTCTAACGGACCTCGCGACCGCCGTCGGTCGCACGCGGCTCGAGCGTCTCGAGTGCAGCGTCTTTTGCCAGTTGGCGGCATGCCCGGCGGCGGCGCCGATGCTGTCGCAACTGCAGTGCCTCATCGTCTCCGAGTTGCACGCCGACGACATGCCGGTATTGATCGCGGGCTTGTCGTCGGTCCCAGCGCTGACATCGCTCGATCTTCCAGATTGCGACCTCTCTTCGTCGACGGAGCTGCTCATGGAGACGCTCGCGACGACGTGCGTGCATCTCGAGTCAGTCATCCGTTGACGCGGCGTGAGGGCGTAGCTGTCCTCTCTCGCACGCTGGACCTGCCGCGCTTGACGTCGCTGAGCATCCGGGTCTCTGCCGTGCTCGACGAGCTTACGGAGCTTGTTGCCGCGGGCCGCCAGCTCCGGACGCTCCGCTTGCGCTGTCAAGGCGAGCGCGCGCTCTGTCGGGCGCTGGCACTTACCCAGAACGTTCCGTTTGTTGTGGACAAGCTGCCAGAAGGTACCGGTGGGTTTGTGCTTGGCGTCCTCGGACCGCGCGCCGATCGTGGTGATCGCTGTCGGTTGAGTTTCAGATAAACTCAAAAACACTTGCATTTTGAATCAAATTTGAGACGAGCTTCTGTAGCTCTTGCAGTACCGGTAGTATCAGAAAGAACCAAATCGCACGCACCGTCGTCGTCGTCCACTATGCCATAGTCGCATTCTAGCTCGTGAGAAAGGCCTTGCCGGCCAAGGTCGTCGACTCGTGTCGCCAGAGGAGCAATCGGTCACGCAGGCGACTCAGTGCGTAGTCGCAGCGAGCGTTGCGCGGCAGGTTCGGAGCTACGAGAATGCCAAGCGCCTTGGTCGGCGTCGACTGCTGAACGAGCTGCAGCGTCGGCAGGTTGGGCAGAGGCGAGTGCGTGAGGACTTGCGTCTTGTCTCGGTTCAGCTTGAATCCCGAGAGGCTGCAAAAGTGGTCTACGAGCGCAAGCTGGCGCTGGTGAGCGGCTTCGTTAGTCGCAAAAAGTTGAGAGTCGTCGAGTCGATCTGGAGGCCGTCCTGGGCGTGGTTGCGAAGCTGGAGGCACATCGGTTTGAGCGCCATCACGAAGAGCAGTGGCGAGAGCGGGTCACCTTGGAGTACACCCCGTTTGATGCAGAATGGCGACGAGAGGTCACCGTTGACGAGGATCTTGGATCGGCGCCCCGAGTACAAGCATTGCACCATGGTGCAGAAGCGCTGCAGGAGACCCCACTTGCGGAGCACCGCGAGCAAGTAGCCGTGGTCGACGCGGTCAAAAGCTTTTTCAAAGTCGAGGAGCGCGATG